ATTTTTTGATTTATTGTAGAGATGAGGTCTCGCCAAGTTGCCCGGGCGGGTCTCGAACCCGCGGGCTCAGGCATTCCACTCAACTCAGCCTCCCAAAGGCGCGGGATTACAGCCCATTTCTTGATGGGTGGTTTATGAGAGCAGCCACTCACGCTGCGCTGCGTGTTCAGCAGTTTTTGGCCCCAAACGGCATGACCCCCGTGCCTCCCCCTCCCTATTCACCTGATCGCGCCCCAAGGGACTTGTTTTTGTTTCCCTGGTGATAGATGTCCTCAAAGGGAAACGTTTGGCCGGTGTGGAAGAGGCAAAACAAAAATGCGGCAGAAGCACTAAGAGGCATCAAAGTTGATGCGTTCAAAAGCTGTTTTGGGTCGGGTGTGGTGGTTCAGCCTGTAATCCCAGCAGTTTGAGAGGCCAAGGAGAGAGGATTTCCTGAGCCCAGGGGTTCAAGACCAGCCTAGACAACTTGGCAAGACCTCTTCTCTACAACAAATCACAAAAACTAGCCGGGCATGTTGGCGTGCATCTGTAGTTCCAGCTACTTGGAAGGCTGAGGCGGAAGGATCGCCGGAGCCCAGCAGGTCAAGGCTGTGGTGGCCGGGAGCGGCCACCGCACTCCAGTCTGGGCAACAGGGTGAGACTCTGACTAGGAAAAAAAACCCAAAAAACTGATTTAAGGAGTAGAAAAAGTGTCTTTATATGTGTATTGCATCAAATGGAGAGTGCTTTGACAGTGACTGAAGTTTAAACATGTAAGAATAAAATATACAACTTTCTTTATCAATAAATTTTTGGGAGGGGTTCAGTCCCCTTTGTATAATCTTAAAATTCTGGGAGCAAAGAGTATTATTGGAAATTGAGTAATTTTCTTTTTTTTTTAGTCAGAGTCTCACTCTGTCGCCTAGGCTGGGGTGCAGTGGCACGCTCAGGGCCACCGCAGCCTCGACCTGCTGGACTCAGGCGATCCTTCCACCTCAGCCTTCCAAGTAGCTATAACTACAGGCGTGTGCCATCACAACCGGCTAATTTGTCCATGCTGGTCTTGAACCCCTGGGCTCAGGAAATCCTCCTGCCTCCGCTTTCCAAAGTGCTGTGATGACAGGCGTGAGCCACTGTGCCCGGCCCTACTGCTTTTTCTTAATTGCTAAGTGTGTAATACTGTGAAAGACTCATAGTAGGTGGGTGGAGTCCCAATGAGGAAGACTGTGAAATCTGAATCTGCCAGGTACAGCATGGCAGTGTGTCAATGTGGACTCAATTGTGTTTTTAGTAGGTGTGTTGTTTGTGTCTGTTGCTCATGTGACGAGGAATTGCTTATTCCTTGCAGTCACAGGCAACGCCTTCTAAGGCCATCTTTTTCTGTCTTCATGAAAGGTATGTCTGGCAATACACACAGTCCCACCGAGCATGGAACTCACTCAGCCTGAGCACCAGTCCCGTGCACTTTCTAATCTTGCAACGTAAGGCCTGAGACTGAGACTGAAAAAGCGTTCAACAAGCACTCATTCCGATAGGTGTTGCTTGTAGTTGTTTGTATGCCTCTGAGAAGGCGGTTTCACCCTCCAGTCGCTGTGTGGCATTCACCATGTAGGGGGGACTCGGGCGACGCTCGATACATTGACTTGAGCTGCAGGAAGTGGAATGGCGTTGCCTGCCCTACTCGCAGACCTTCCAGAGCCCTCCTACCTCCGTTGTAACTTTGAACTTGAACTCCTGGGGAGCCACGCTCTGTCTCTGCAGAGGTGCCAGCCCCTTGTCCGACACAGTTGGTAGCCCAGTGCCAAGCCAGACCCCAGTGGGGCTTCTGTCATCACTGCTGCTCCTTCCTGAGACTCTGCAGATAGGGAGTCGTGTCACCCTGGTATCATTTCCTGTATTCTGCTGGCATCTGTCTTTCTGCTTGTTCTTTATGTTTTCTGCATTGGTAAGCAGAGCTGTTTCAGAGTGTGTGTGATGCCAACACATTCGGTCTTAGCGGAGCTCTTTGGATGTCATGTGTTCTGGTTCATGTGGCCTGGACTCGGTGGGTCTGGGTATCTTCCACTGTGTGCTGGTCATGGTGATGGTGCTGGGGAATGTTAAGACCTGAGATGAAGGCGTCTGACCCAGCCAGGATTTGCATTTGTTTCCATCGGCTGTTTGTGGTCAGCAAATGTTTCCAAAGGAGAGTAATCTTGAGGATTCAGAAACAAGAAATTGGAAATCCTGGTAATCCCTAAATTATAACTTAGTCCATATGCTTTAAAATATCTTTATTTACATGTTCTTAAATAACGGTAGTGATCATAACCAAAGGCAAATAATTTTCCTTTGACAGGATTACACTAAAATATTTGGAGGTGTCAACCTGGGTAACACCGTGAGGCCTCATCTCTACAAAAAATCCGAAATTTAAACTGGGAAAGGTGGCGCACCTGTGGTCACGGCAACTCAGGGGCCTGAGGTGGGAGAATCACTTGAGCCCAGCAGGTGGAGGCTGCGGTGAGCTGTGATCATGCCACCGCACGCCAGCCTGGGTGACAGAGTGAGACCCCGACTCAAAAAAATAAAACCAAATGAAATGGGCTTCCATGAAGCAGGGTGTGCCCTAAGAGCCTGATCTGGGGGTGCTTCTGGTACACAACCAACAACTCTTCCAACATCAGTGCAAAATAAAAACTTTTTTCTGGCCAGGCTCGGTGGCTTAGCCTGTAATCCCACGCTTTGGGAGGCTGAGGTAAGTGGATTGCCCAAGCCACAGGTTCGAGATCCACCTGGGCAAATTGGCAAGACCTCATCTCTACAATAAATCAAAAAATTAGCCGGGCGTGGTAGTGCGCGCCTGTATTTCCAGCTACTTGGAAGACCGAGGTGGAAGGATCGCTGGAGCCCAGCAGGTGGAGGCTGCGGTGGCCGGGAGCGGCCACTGCACTCCAGTCTGGGCGACAGAGTGAGACTCCAACTCAAAAAAAAAACCACTATTTTC